CTTTGACATTCTCTTTAATCTGCCTCTTTGTTTCATAACGAAAATCCCTGAACCTAGGAAGCAATTAGATGCCGTTTGTAAAACAAAATGCTGAAAAAAACCTTTCCTCCAAAAACTCTTGGCAAAGGGCTCATCAGGATTTTTCTTAATGTAAAAATGGTAAGTTACACAAGTTAAGTTCCAAATAATTTATTCTGGCACATCTGATGTCTGGGTGTATAGTTTATATATATACACCACATACCTTTCAGTTAACTGTTAAAAATAGCAATTTTTTTTTTGAATACTACATCACTGACTATTTTAAATTAAATTCCTTCCTCAAGACTCAACTTGTGTGTCCTGAAGAAAGCTCTTGAACAAATACAATAGAACCATACAGTACTACTTATATGACAGAATCATTAAAACTGATAGGGCATTAATGCTATGAAAGAATAACACTTGGACTATGCTGGTACTGAATCAAGCTACGGTAAACACAGAGTTTGGGATATCTGTAAATTTATTTTCCAAATCCAGATGAACAGATACCTTCTGAGCCAGTAAATTAAGCTTTTAAAGGAGACCACTCACTAAAGAGCATCTTTTGTTAACGTAGCTCCAAAGGATGGAGCAAGTATGGACTTCTTTTTAATATATCCATCTTCTCTAGAAGAAGAATCCAGATGGATTCTGAGGCATAGAGAGCAGAATAGAGACCTCCTCCATCTCACCCAGAACAAGTGGCAGAAACAACCTGGCCCTCCTGAGTCTCTGCCCAGCACTCTATCCTCAAGTCCTTACTATCTCCTAAAAGAAAAATCTTCACAGCTTTTTGTTGCTCATTTATCTAGAACACTATCACAGGCAACACTGTCTTTTTTTTTTTTTAAATAAAGGAAAAGTAATTTTGCTGGTCTGCTCCTAGCAATAGCGTACAAATTCAGAGATTTTTACTCAATCTATTACAATGTTTTCACTGTCAGGTTAGGGCATACATCAGAGCACAAGAGATTTACAAGACAAGTTGAAGAGCCCTAAAACAAAAAATTGGACTTTCTTACTCAAGCCTCTCTGTCCATCGAGCCTGAAGTTATCAAACAAGAACCAGACTTCCACTTGTTTATTGCTTATAGTGTGCTTATTTCCTCCAACCTGCAAATGTCACAACAAATGGCCCTAAAAGGCACCATAAAGGGCAAGAGTCTCAGTACTTTTTGTGGTGAGCAAGTTCTTGTTCTGGCAATTTCCTTCCAGACAGAGAAGACAGATGATTAGTCTGGGAGCACTGAGAAAGCCCCGCACAACAGAGCTATCAAAGTCACAAGGTTTTCAGCTGAGACCCCTAAAAATTCCCTTTAAAACTGACTGACCCTCTTGTGTGTGCCAATGAACACAACTGCAAGAATATAGTCAACATCCTGTGCTTCCTCTTTTCTTTCTTCCTCCTCATCTCACAGTAACCCACTGCTGTCATTTTCCAGCCAGGCAGTGACACACCAGAGTCTGTTGGGCTCTCAGCAGGGCAGTCCGCCGGCAGGGACTACCTCTGCGGGCTCACTGCTCTCAGCCACTCCAGACTCTTTGGGGCACAGCGCTCGGCTCCCGCAGGGTCGTGGAGCCAACTTCATAACCGGGAATTTGCTTTTGAGATGTGGTGCCAAGCAAAATAATACAAGATGAATTAACTGTGTCAATTACTACATTTCAAGAGGAAAGAAAAAAAAAACCTAAGAGCCATCATTTCTTATTGTATTTATTTATTTCAACCCAGAAGCAGCCATCCTGGTTTTCAGAAGGATTGCATGTCTGTGCTTTCCTAGTCACTTGGAAGGAGCTGACAGCTTTCAGCACTTCAGCAAACACTGCTTGAGATTCTTTAACAGAAGGAAGGAACCAGCAGCCAGATGAGAAGCATGTGAGGGAATGCATCTATTAGCAAGTACAGGAAGATGTCTTGTTAATAGAAGACAGAAGGAGGGACAAAGCAGGGAGAGAAAGCAGCCAGCAGTTAGTCATTTTCTCATACAGATATGTTTGGCTACAAATGAGACGCGTATCAATCTAGTACTCCTTTCTGCACTTTCAGAGCCAGTGAAAACCAATACTGAAAAGCAAAACTGAACACTGAAAGGCCTCTCTTCAAAACTGTTCAGCACATCAAAAGATGGCCTAAGGCTAGCAAGGGACAAATGAGTAGGCCCACCAAGAATCAGCTTTGCCATTCTTGAAACCCTTTCTCTGACTCCTTCCGTGAGCATAAGGTAGGAAGAGATGGCTGAGCCTCCAAGACAGGCTGAGAACATTCTGGGTTTGGGGGGTTTTTTTGTTTTGTTTTTTTTTTTTTTTTTTTTTTAATAAAAAAGCCATTTTGGAGAGGAAAGGAGAAAGGATGTTCTGGGTTTGGGTTTTTTTTTTTGTTTTTTTTTTGGCTTTTTTTTTTTTTTAAATAAAAAAGCCATTTTGGAGAGGAAAGGAGAAGAGCAACCAGAGCAGGGAGAGAGACTAAGGGCTCAAGTGAACAATGAGTTGACACAGCACAAGAATCAAGTTTTGTATCACCACCCTTATGAGAAGAGACACCATTTGGATACGTTCAGTCTGTGGAATAAAACTCAAGTCTCACCATAGCAGTAAAGACCAAAGATATGGATTAGCAAGATAATTGCTCAGCTTGCACCTTTGCCATTAAGAATGTAATGTGCAATAGCAGAAGTTACCCATGCAGTTTCCTCAAGGAACAGGAAAATAAATAAATAAATAGATCAGTAACATGCTCTCTAATGCTACCTTTCACTCAAATTAAGACTTTTAATATCAAACTATCCATATGCAAAATCTGCATAAAAATAAAACAGTTTTTAGAAGATTCTTTGTCCAAATCATCACCTATGTTACCTCCTGACCAACAGTGTTTCCTGCATTCCTTTGCTTGCTGAAAAGGATTACTGCAGTATTGCTATTTGCTCCAGTCTACTATCCCAAAATGACATTGTGGCATATAGCCGGTTTTAACTACTTAGGTTTAAGAAAATCTCTAGATAATATAGTTGCTCTGAACAACATTTAATATATACTTGACTCATAGCATATTGTTACTCAGCCCAAAGACTTGTCACTGAACTTAATTTTAATAGCATACATCAAAGCAAAAAAAAGACAAAGAAATAGTTACCCCTTCCCTGAGTAATCAATAAAGCTAAAGAAAAATTCCCTGAATTGCCGTGGGAAAATTAGTATGCAGTATGCCCTTTCAAGGAGATATGCAGTTTTGCACCTAGATGTTTTCTTCTTTTGCATTTTAGAGAGAATGAAGGGAAAAAAAAAATCACAGCATGAATCATCATTATTTGCATGAACTACAGCAAAATCGAGATATTAAAATCTATTTGCCATACTTTTTTTTTTTTTTTTTAATACTTTTCATAAGTCTTTTCATAATCTGCTTCTGCCCTGTGTTGGAGACGTGATATTGAGCTCAACAGGTATTTGATTTGACTTAATGTAACTATTATTCTCTTCTTAATGCACACCAAGATAGCAAATAAGGACAAATATGGAAAGGTCAAAGAGAAGCCAGAGAGGAGGAAACCAGGCCAGCTCAGCATAAACATATTTTCTAGGTAAATGCACCACTGAAGGAAAAATCACCTGCAGATAAAAAGACATACAATACTTTTAAATGTGTATATTATATACCTCATATTAAGACTTACAGAGCTGCAACTGTTTAAGTACAGACTTTTCTATGCAAAAATAGAAGCCAGCTCTTTCTCTCTCACTATACGTATTTCTAGTAACTGGAGAAGCCATGTTTAAAAAAACCAACAAAACACCAAAATATTTTAAGACCTCTGAATATAAACTGTGACAACTGGTATCACAGTACTCTAGTTTATAGACTTCTTGGAGAAGTCCATTTTAAGCTCCGGATAAACCCGATACCCCAACAAGGAAGAAAATTAATTAGCCAGTTTGTCACAACATACCCCTGTTCTTTCACAGAGAAACAACATCCAGTTTTCAAACCTGTAGCTCTGCTAGAGCTGCCCTTCTAACCAGTCGTCTTCGTCTGACATATCGGTAAAACAATAGAACATTTTATGGATTCTTGAATTAGCAGCCCTTTAAAGTTAATATACAAGGGGAAAGGTCTGTTGACTCTGATTCTTTTCTCATTTAAGGAAAAAACTCTAAACTTCCTTTGATTCATTCATCAACTTAGGCCCGTGGACTCCGGTGACAACAGGGTCTATTATTACAACTATGAAGTTTTTAGTAGCATAGTGTTTATACATCAGTGACTCTTGTTCTGTGAAAAAAAGCAGGCAGTTTCCACAAACTACAAGGATGCTCAGTACAATGAATAATTGCTTAGCGCTTCATTTTCTACATAATAATCATTTTCTTATATGTAACTAAATATTTTAAGCAGTTTATTAATTTATAAGCTTAGTTGTGGACATCTCTGTGTTTTTGGCATCAGTACACAGACTGCCTAAAGTGTTGATACTCTATGTCCTCAAACAGTTTCTAAGTGTCCTCATAATTGCTTGTCACCTGTAAAAGAGGTTTAGATCCAATGCAAAATTAACATATGGTGAACAGATGGACTCAGAACAGACGTTTGTCGAGAAAGTACTCACACCAAAGACTTTTTGGCTTCAGCCTTTTAGGACCTTCAGAAAAGTCCTACTTGAAGCTCCAAGTCATACTAATCAGGGGAACATCGTTCCTCAATGACAATCTCGTATTGCAAAAACTTTTATGACCTGCTACAAAGAAGAATCCTTGCAACTTTTCTGTTGTCACAGTGCCTCCGTAAACAGAAGAAACAAGATATTGTTTCCATGGGTACCCCACCCATCCAACAAGAATAATTCATCTTGTATGAAACAAAAATGCAAGCACAAAGCTGCTATTACAATGATTTAAAAAAAAATAATAATTACAATAAGAAGTTTAAAAAAAAGAAATCCCCCCCCCATGCAAACTCTTCAAAATATTCCATTACTTACTGAGGAGGTAAGACAAGAGTTGTTGGCTGGGCTTTTGGTCTGCAGTTTGCAGATACTCCCATCTGGTTGGCTGAACGTTTCAAAGACTGCTGATTCAAAAGGCCAGATGCTAGCCCTGCATGGTACTGCAACTGGATAATAAAAAAAACCATATATATTAAAATACACACCACTGCAGCACTCTATCTATGTCAGCCCTCTACTATCTATACCATCTGATTAAAATAACAGCCAGTCAGTAAGTTAGTGTATGGTATTTCATTTTTTTTTTTTTTTTTTTGCTTGGATGTAAGAGGATATGAACAAAAGCATATAAAAAAAAGTCTGATGTGAAATAGGTATTACAAGGAAATCATGCTATAGGACAAGTAAGATGATGAATCAAAGACTTTCTCTGAAGTCCTAACTCTCCTGAAACTTGGGCTTGCTTTTAAATGTTAAGACTGTTTCTCCTCTCAAGGGATCAAGCATTCTTACTTTTTGGAAGAAGATAGGAGGAAGAAAGATGCAACCCTTTCACTATATGAACCAGCTTTTTAGAAATAACACTCATCTTTTTTTCTTAAACCTAAAAAACACAAAACATTCACAAAGAAGAAAAACCTAGCCTTTAAAATACCTGCTAGCACGTCTCCATAGCATTGCAACAGAAAGATTCACATTCAGTAGCTTTCTCCTCTAACCTTTTACTTTACTTGCCAATGAAAGACAAATTTGTGAAGGACACAACGTGAATCTGCAAGATTTTGAGTGCATTCCCACTGCTCACAGATTTAAGAACAGCTACAGTGCTGTGTCAGTCCTGAAACCAGCCTCAACTGCAACAAGTTACAAGCTCACCTCTAAACACTTTCAATTTACATTCTTGGCTCCCCATTTTTGAAGAGAAGGGGGTGAGAAAAAAGCTCAAGGTTCAGTGTCAGACAAATGCAATTTCCTTCATCATTCTAGTCCCCACATCAATGAGCTCATTATCTACAGATTTGTTCTGAAAAAGGTGAACTGTTTAACACATTAATGACTCTAATCCCATGATCTGCGTATTAAAAAAAAAGGTTACAGTTAGGATACTATGACTTGCGGATGTTCAGAAAATAAACTGGTCTTAGGCAAAGCTATTCTGCACGGTACTGACTGAAAATGAGGGAAACAAAGCTTGGTGAAGCGATCTACTTGAAAATGGCTATTAAAATGAGTGAAGCTATCCCGTGAGCCAGTTTGACTCAAATATCAATGCTCAGAACATCCATAAGGCTTTTTAACAGGCTGGCTGCTTTGCCACATGATCTCAGCTGTGGCACAACATGAAGACACGCTGCATTCCTAATGGTAAGAGAACCGCGCTCTGCCAGGGAAGGGGGGGATTGTATTGCCCCAACAGCTCCGCTTAGACCAATGAATTTTGCTCAAACTTGTTTTTCTCTGACAGATTTCTGAAATGGGGGGGGAATATAAAAAAAAAAAAGAAATCAATGGAAGCGATGGACAGTACTTGTTTGAAAGGCAATGTTTCAAAGTGTCAGGGGCTTAGTTTTTAATCTTCACTACCAGAATTTGCAGTGAGTGCAATATGCAGGGAATTAAAGGGAAAGACAGCTCTGGCAGAAGACCCCTCTGACTCCAGGAACACGCTTTTCCCTTTTCTTCTTGCATCTTATTACGAGCAGCCCTCCTTCAGCCATTTTGTGCTGTTGACACGATTCAGTTACATTCACCGCGCAGAATGACACTGACAGGTATTTCAAGTAAATAACATCATTTGGACATTTGCTCAGAGACGGAGGTAATCACAGGTGCTAATCATAGATGAATTTTAAATGCAACCTTTTAAACACATTTCATAACCTCCCGGCTAGTCTGACATTTAGTGGTCAGGCATTAAAAAAAAAGGAATTAAAAATAAATATATTCTAAAAAACAATTCTGTCCTTGAATGCTCACTCCCAGTGATTAAGCTATTTTTACTAATTATTTCTTTATAATCTACCTTTGCTCCCAGGAATGCAGATCCAACTGTCAAAATCTATAAGGGCCATTAAATATTTACCAAACCATCCTTATAATGGGAGAAAAGGTCAAAGTTAATAAAACTGACAGGCAGCTTCTGTCCAACTTGATTTATACATTATTAAAGTATCACATACTGTATTGCACAGAATGCGTTCCTTTTTGTGGGCAGAGGGGTGTTAACTGAAGAGATTGGGAAATTGTTTCTTAATCATTTGTTCTGAGGAACAGAAACAAGACTGAAAATAGTGCCAAAGCAGTACCACTAGCATCAAAACTATAGCCGGGAGATTCAACAGTCATGATGGATAATGAACTGCCATTCAGTTCATTTTTCCTCTTGCAAAATAAACACCTTTGTCTGCCAGCATCAGCCATGACAGCAAAACTCAGCTGAAAACGTACCAATACCCTCAAAGTTTTTGTTTCCTAACAAGAGAATGCCATTTCCTAACATATTATCTTCACCTTAGGAAGCCACATGTAGTGTACTGTCAGAGGACATTATGGGTGTTGAGAGGCTCACGCAGGGAAGCTGAGACGAACTCATGGGACACAAACCCTTCGAGGGTTAATAAACACACAGAAACCACATTTAGCTCAAGAAGTCCCTGAGCCAGAGACTGCTGGTGGCTGGAAGAACACCGGGGAGAACGTTGTATACAGGCATGTGCTTATAGCTACTGCTGCAGATGAAATACGCGGCTACGCGAGCCTTTTGTCTGACGCAGCAGAGCTGTTGTGCGTTTCAGTTAGTGTCTACAGAGGGGTGGTCCACGCAGGTCTAAGAGACCCTGCGACCCAACGCAGCCAAAAGTTGGGCACTTGTGGACGATCACGACTGCCTTCTCTAAGCGTATTCCCAATGACCTGCCATCTGCTTTTGACAACTGTGCTCATTTAAACCAGCAGAATGGTAAACAGCAATAGCTTTAACCACAAAATATGCTAAGTACTCACTGAACTTGAGTATTGGTGCAGCACTAGGTAGTATAGCAAATCATTTCTTTATCAGTCGCTAAGGAATTCCCCATCATTCAGAGGCTTTATTACAGGAAGCATCCATGTCTTTCAGCTTTGGGGAATTCCAACTGGTTTATGTGAAGCTAAGCTCTTTACTTGCTAATGAAATATTCCTCCGTAAAATTTCAACAAGATTGATCTTTTTCCCCCAATACATGCAGATGAAACATAAAATCTATTTCAGAAAACTAAGAAATAAAAAACAACAACAACAAAAAAATCAATTTATAACACTTAACAGTTAGGATACACACCAGTGCCAACTTGTACAGTTTTATGATGAGTCTTATGATAGCTGATATTTTTCTTAAAACTGTGGTTCCAAGTAGATGTGTGAATTCCACATTTTAAAATCAAAAGAGACTCTAGTTCTCAAGGATGTAGGAAAAGTACTGAAAATAACACGTCAATACATGCAAAAGCTTTACCTGAAGGTAAATAAAAACAGAACTTGGATAATTTTTAAATGTCATTATTTTTGAGATTCATTATTTTTCTACGTTAATGGCAACATGGCTTATATTTTCTAGAAGAAAAGATTATCACTAATGTTTTACAGGTGCCATAATTCACATTTTCACAGTGTTCCTGAGTATATGAAAACTACATTCATATATTAACGGCTCTCAATCTTCCTCACAAAGTGAAATACATCATAACAGAGATAGCACTTTGGAGTCACTTTTCTCACAGTTGTAATCGTAAGGAGGGCAATTTCTTCATTCACATAAGATGTCTTTGGCTTTCACATGAACTATTTAAACAGAGAACGTGTATTAGAGAAATACAGACTGGATTTAGTTCCATAAGCATTAATATTTTTTTAAAAGTTAATCACTTAGTATCTTTTATTTACTCTACCCTGGTACTCTCTTCTTATCAGAAACAAGGCAACACACCCCCTAAAACAATCGAAACAAACAAAAAAGAACCCCTGCATCCCCCCTGAAAGATCCCACTGTCTTCTGCAGATGATCTTAAAATGTTTGGAGCAGACAGAGAACTTCTGCTACAGCCAAAGGGCTTAAACCAGAACAATGCAGTAAGGCCCCTTCGTTCAACAGAAATGGACTGAGCGTATCGTGACAGATTATATTTCGGCCTACAGGATTACTCTACAGTGTATGTTATGAAACTACAAACGTACACAGTGCTAATTTGAAACTTTTAAAATGAAAGCTTCATCATTAGAATCATGCTGGGTCTAAAGGTCTTTTGTTTACATAATTCATGGGCTGGAGATTCTGCATGTGCTGACTGCTGACCAAACAAGTCATTACACTCCACTTACTTAGAAGGCCATTTAAAGTTGCAAAAATTGGTTGGGCAGGAAGAAGGTAAGAATCAGGGACAATCACTTGGAGCATTTACAATTGATCATGTCAACTCACAGGTGCACATTAAATTTACAGATTACCATTATTTAAAGCTTTTTAAGCACCAATAGGTTTTCTTTAAAAAATGAAATCAGAAGAATGACTTTTCTTTGTGATCACATTACCCTGTTGTGATATTTTTTCCATTCTCATGTAAATACTTACAGACCACGTACATAAACAGAAAAGCATTTTCTCAGATACAGGTAATATAAAAAATAATAATGTTTATTTCCATTCCTCCAAGAAATAAGAGTTTTACAGAAGCGGCTGACAGATACTTGTCCATCACGGAATTTTCCGAGTTCACTGTAATACTGGTGAATGCGTGCACATTTGCCTCCTTTTAAGACGCGTAGTACTTTGCCCCTCATCGTTAAATTATTTCTCCCTTGCGCTAACAAGGGATTTGTCTATTATGATAAAACTCTAGTCATTCTTTTGAATAGAGCAATGAGCAAGCAAGCAGGACACTCCCACAGTTTCATCTCTGCAGACTAAAGTAGGCAAGAGAGAAATTACACTACCTTAATTGATATTTTTACTCTCAGATAATGAGGCCGGTTTGGAAATTCTCTTTTTCTCCAAACAAGGTTTGATCATTTTAGGATAGCTGAATTCTTGACTTGGCCAAAACAGCATCAATAAACCGAAAGAGCAGTCTCCAATTTATTTACTCATTGGTTTTCCTCTTGTGGAACTGGGTTGCAGGCTTTTCAATTAAT